TGTTGTTGTTATTGTTATTGTTGTTGTTATTATTGCTATTATTATTGTTTATAATTGTTGTTTATAATTTGTACAATTAACCTCCCTGTGGTTCGACCCTGGTCTTGCTGGGTTATTTATTATTTCGACACTCCTGCACTTGGGAGAAGACATCAATCTTTTAGTCGTGTCAATTGACAACGCCAGAATTCGAACAAACTTAAATCATAAAAGTTCTGGGAAATTATCTCATCTTTTTAGAAAAACAATGAGGTTATTTAGACCTCTAGAACTCGCGATATGGGCTAAACACTAAACAGTGTCTAGGCTATAAGACAAATTTAGACTTCTCTGTTGTTGCTAAGAATTGGACTTTCAAACAGCATAATTGAGTCTTGCTTTCCACATAAATGTTTTAGGCCTATATCTTAGCTTTCCATCCATATAAAGCAGACCTAAATCTAAGATCTACAACTCCAGATATGACCTAATAACTGAACAGTGTTCTAGTTTGGGTTGAACGAGTATCTCTTTTCAAAGTTTAGCCCTCTCTTTGTCCTTTCAATTTCTGTACTTAAACTCATCAATCAATCCTTTCATTTATGTGATAGACCTGCATTTAAGATGAATATTTACCATAAGTTAAAAGTATCTAATGGTATCAGACTTGTTATTATAAAACATGTTTTAGTTAAGGAGTTATTGATATTTCAAGTGCAAAATGATGATATAAAACCTTAATAAAAATGTATTTTTAAGTATTAATCAATATTTTAACTCTAACTTTTCCTTCCAAAGAATACCAATGAACCCGACTGCCTTATTTAATTGTCTATATATTCATCTATTTTTCATAAATATCAACTAGTTCGACCATCCTTCACGAATGCCTATAAATCCATCTAACTCATCTTTTTTTACCCTTTATACTATTAATATAAAAATACAATTTCACATTTAAAGAATTTATAGTTACAAAATTTATGGAATTATTATAACAGTATAAAGTACTAAGCATCTTCTTGGAGCTTATAAATGCTTAGTTATTGTTGATTATTGCCTTTCCACTTTTATAACCTCTCCTACATTAAGAGGACAATAACTATTATAACTGAATAATTTATTATCATAATTCTATTCATATTTTTGCGCAGTTTCACATTACTAACCCAATTAAAAAGGTTTCACATCATTAATCCACTTTTTGTAAGGTTTAAACCTTGCACATACTATAATCATGCTTATCTATTTCTATACAACAAGTAACTTTGTTTAAGTACATAACCCAACATACAAGCCTTCATTTTCATACTTCTAGTATCTCTTAATAGTCCAATATCTTTTATTTTTGAATTTCTAACTTGATATTCTTGAGTTATTAGAATGACTTTTAATTTTTCATGTATTATTTTTCTCAAATCTACTAAACTGCCATATTATTAGTTAACTTCACTACATGGTTTTTCCTTTCATATGTATTACCCATAATGACTTCCATCAAATTATCCTTTAGTTAACTAATACTTCATTAAACCATTTACACTTTTATTATCTATTATTCATCCATATAACGGGGTCTTAATAAACCTAGCCTCTACTCGTATGGTTAATTAGATAAAACAATGCCAATCATTAGTTGCCATTGATGGTATTGGTCTCCACACCATGACAAACTAATCAAATAATGTTAATCATTAGTAATCAATGATGTCATTAGTCGCCACATAATGATAAACTAATCAAACTATGTTTCTCATTAGTAACCATCAATGCTATTAGTCTCTACATAGTGCCAAACTAATCAAACAATGTTGATTATCAATTACTACTAATATCATTAGTTGCCACACTGTGGAAGACTAATGAAACATCACTCTTAAACCTCTTATACTAAGTTCTCCACACATTCTTGGTAACATACCCAACAAATCATCCCACTCCAACCAAAATTTTATTCATTATAACAACTTATATATTTACTAGGTTATCTTAACGCAAAACCTATCATTTTTACCTTATTTTTTATCCAATGCCTTTTTATATTTACACTTGTATAATTTCTCTGACGTGAATCCATACACAAATCACTAAATTGTATTTTTAGTATCCATTTTGATTATCATATGTAATTATTCTTTTTTGTATACCTATTTTTACAATGAAGTATTACAATACTACCCATTTAGAATGCCTAAATTTTGACTACCATGTATAGCATTTTCTTTTTGAAATCTAATGCTTATATTGTGAATACATAATTTCATTTCTTCATGTATGCATACATTTCAATTTTTTGAATCAATACTTTTATTCAATTTCACTAACATACCTTATCTATACTAGTTTAGTTACAACCTTTATTATCATGTTTCGACTGCTCACATTAAACACCCATGCAAGTATTTCCTTCCAATAACTCATATCATAACTAACATATACTTTGCATTTTCTAATATTCATTAACTTGTTTTTCATACAAAACAATTATTTCATTATTCATAAACAACACTACAGGAAATAATAATTACTAAAATGATATTTGAATTTTTTAAGAGTCAAGGTGTTGGACACCTACCTGAAGCCTGAGTGTGTCTCGACGTTCTAATTTATTTTTTAACTTTAGCAGCCTCTCATGTATCAAGATTATAATCTATCATAACCACATCAATATGACCTTGAGATCTTATTTTGAATCTCATTTAACTTATATTTATAAATTAATAGCAAAATAACTCATAGGATATAATATTCACCCTTACTTTTCAAATATCATAATCATCTTTAAGGGTCTAAATCTACTATTTAGTTAAGATATATTTCTTTATTCATGTAATAATGCATAACCAAACATTTAAACACATTAGCTAATATTTATGCACTGGAATCTAATCGATTTCTATACTTGACCCTCTTTTCTTAGATGTATAGGTTCATTAATCTTATATTTTTTATCCAAGTTATATCATTATGTAACTTTTGTCATTAACACACTTTTACTTAGTACGATGATTCTTATTATTATTTTTTATTATATATTAATAGCCATAAATTAATATTTATATTTTTAAGACATTCATTCCAATTTCGTCACTCTAAAATTATTTTAATTGGTTGAATTCAAGTTTTAACACAATTTAAAACAATAAATAGTATGGACCATGTCACCTAATCTGGTCAAGTTTCCCCACCTGCGGACTTCCTTCCAATTTATTTATAATCTACCAACATTAATACCCTAGTATACACTTTGAGAACATATTTTATTTGACGATATATTTTAACAACATTACAATTCCTTTTTTTTGTCTTTTTTGGATGTGTGTGTCTTCATGTGAGGTCAGGTATTTTAGTGTTGGCGTTACATTTTAGTGGAGAGGGTAACCAAAAAACAAAAACAGTGTGAAATGGTAAAAGATGTTAAAAAGGGCGGTTTCAACGGATTCTTAAGAGAAATGAGTAAACCCTAATCTGTTTGATTGAATTAGGTTTGTTTTGTTTTGTGTTTTCAGTTTGCGATTATCGATTTTGTAATGTAACGGATTGATTGCCTCTTGTTTCTTTTCATTTGTTTCTCTTTTGGGTTTAAGAATGAAGTGTCTACTTGCCTTTGTTATTAATTAAGGTGCTGATGCTCCTAATTTTATTTGGATTGAGATGGGTTTATCGCATGTCAAGCCTATTTTTGAAAATGAAGTGTCCGTCGTTCTTCAGTAATATTTATTATTTCCGTGTATGGAGCCGACAGATATGTTGTCTAACTTCTCTCCGTTTAATCATGTCATATTGTTGGTTTTAATATTTTTTTTTGTTTTTTTTTTAAAGAATGTAATAAAAGTGATAGACTGCTTTTGCATTTGTAGTGTTAGTATTTCGCATCAGAAATCTGATGCTTGGGATGTCAACCTGGGTGCTCAAATGTCAATAGCTTATGGTGCTGTGCATGTCATTTGCTTGTTTTCGTAGCCAGTTAAAGGTAATCCAATCTTATGAATAAGGTTTTAACTCTATTTTATGAAGTGAATACCAGTAGGGTTTTTAAGAACATCTAGCTGTATGTTAGATTATGTCAATCTTGCATGTCAAGAGCAGATTGTGTGGTACATGAGGAGATGAGGGATGTTTTGGGACAAGTGAGGTTGAGGGATATTAGGAAATTGACATTGGAAATATGAAGGAAGAATGTCCTGTTGGAAATGGAAAAGATAGACCATAGATGATGCAGATGAATATTTGCAAAGTTTGGAGTGTTTTTAAGAACAATTATTAGGTAAAACACATGCAAGCCTTAGCATGCCATTCCTTCTTCTTCTTTTTTCTTCCTCCTCCATTGGACACAAGAGGCTTTTGTTATGTGCTGCATGGTCTTTTCATGCTGCAAGTGTGAAAATTCGTTGTTCCTTGTGAGGATTGGCTTAAGGTAAGGATGGTCCTATCCAGGTTATACTGTTATCTAAAACAATGTAAATATGAGTATTCATATGGATTTGGCTTTTGGAAGTTGGAAAATGTTCTAGCTTGTCAGGAACTTGATGTGTTTAATGTGTAGCAATTTGTAAGCAGTAGGTCAGTATGTATGCTCCATTTACTCGTGTATTATTGCATGTTTGGTACTTTGACAGAACATGTGTCACGGGTTAAGTTTAAAGCATTAGTTGAGAACTTTCCAGCATTAGATGAAAATAAATAAATGAACAAACATTTAATATGTTTGGAAATGTATATGTGGTTGGATTTTTGGAGGCCCATGTATGTGGATATGTGCTTTATAGGCTAGTGCTAATGGCATGGCATTTAACTTAGCATCGATCGTATTGAACTACTATTAACATTTAATATATGGACATCTTGTCGTTGTTATATTTGATTTGTGCTTCTCATTTTGCTTTAATTGAATCACACATGCACAAGCATGCGCAATTACATATGTATTTAATTTTGTATGACACGTTTATATAGGAAATGCTGAAACCTAGTAATCTTGTTGCTTCTTGATGTGATTTCTCCTATCATGTCTGTTTAATTACCAATGGAATTTTGATGCATTGTTAATGTAGGTTGTATTTGGATGATACTGCGTGATCTCAAGCTTCATAGTTGCTCTTAAAATGAAACCAAGAACTAATGGGACTTCTAGAGGTCAGAAGACACAGAATTTTCAGGGGGAGGGACGAAATTGGATTTTTATTGCAGGTGGTGCCTTGTTAAGTACATTGTCAATTCACCTTGGTTACAAGCTCAAGCAGACACTGGACTCAAAGCAACAGGCAAATGCTAGTAATAGTCTGAAAGGTCTTGCACTGTTTATAGCATCAGCTAGATTCCTTTAATATGAACTTGGCCATAACTTTTGAAGTTTGAACAATACAGGGACTGTGAAATCATCTGACAGGAGGAGGTCACCTGGTTGCAATATGCATTCAAACATGTATTCCTTCACGCAAGATGATGATGGTTGCTACGACTGCATTCCAGGTATGACAATTCTTCTTGTTCAAGCTGCCAAAGGGTTAAAGAGAACGTATATTGATACTTCAATTCAAACGTTTGCTAGTTTCTGTTTGGCTTCCTTGTTTTTGGGATATCTTGTGATGCAGGCACTGTTTTTTTTTGCAGTACAAAAGCACTTTTAAAAAAAATTATTATTTTTTATTTCAAATTAATTTCATTGTTGCTCATAGATTGTTTTGATATGTTAATGTCCAAAATGAAAAAAAACATTATTTTGTTGCATTTCCAAATAAAAAACATTTTGAAAAGTAATCACTACCACAATGTCAAATGGGCTCATAGATTCTGGTAGTTGGCTAGTTATAGTTGCATAAGGACATCATGTTGCATTGCATCTACATTTCAAATTCCTTCAGCTTCTGGATATATTTTCATTGTTTACTTGCCTTGGACTGTGGAACAGGGGAGGGATTGTGAGACAGTAATGTTACTATTAGGTGAAAGGAAACGATGAACAGTAAATTGTCTGTTTCTGTGCGTGCATCATTGCAGTTCATATCCTATGTGGACATGATGGACATATCCTACCTTCTTCTCTGTTGGATTGACACTTGTTTGTCTAGCATTTCTTTTCCTTTTCCTGTACAAATAGGGATAAGGCGCAAAATATTTGTATCATGGCCAATGCTTCTCTCTTCCTATAAATTTGACATGTATTCCCCCCAAAATTTGCAATGCTGGCTTGCAACCCATCTTTTGTGATTTTCTTTTCAGTACAAGGGAAAGATGAATAAACATTGGACGTCAGTCCTTAGAAAATTGACAGTAGATTGGAATAGGGGATCAAGGCATTTGCAAATATGAAATATCCACCCAAAAAATATAGATCTATCTTTTCCATCTCACAGATCCGGAGAAAAGAAGTGCCTTATGCAGAACAGTGTAAAATAGATCAATGTTCCTTATCCAGCGAGTTGGGTTTTGAGACATAGTTAAGTTGTTACATCAAGTATTGGTTTTTTTTTTATTTGACAATCATATAATATGTTACTGTATAATGGTATCTATTTTATTAGAAGACTTTTTCCCTGTATTTTATATGTGAATTTGGGTTTGGAACAGGGAATGAAGGCATTGCAAATATGAAGCATCAGTCCAATGACCAGATGCTGTCTGAATCTGACATTGGTCTACCTTTGGTGACGGTTCCTGCTGCAGAATTCACCAAGGAAAATGGTGTTATGTGGGTATCATCTCCTGATCGCCTTGAGTTGCCACCAAAGCCATTCCACAATTCAAACTGCTCTGACTCGCCATGTGTCTCAGAATCTGGTTCTGACATCTTCAGCAAACGAGAAGTTATACAGAAGCTGAGGCAGCAATTGAAGAGGAGAGATGACATGATACTGGAGATGCAGGATCAGATTCTGGAATTACAGAATTCACTCAATGCTCAGCTGACACTTGCTTCAAATTTGCAATCACAGATCAATGCAGCTAACAGGGATTTGTTTGATTCTGGAAGGGAAATCCAGAGGCTCAGAAAGGCAATTGCTGATCACTGTGTGAAACATGTGGGCATCAATGACAAACCATCAGCAATCACAACATGGCCATCTGAGGCAAGAAATGGCCATGCAAATGGATATCTGGATGGAGACAGCAATTTTGAGTCATCGGAAAAGGGAAGGGGAGATGTCGAGAGGATTGAGAAGCTGAAGAGAGAAGTAGATGAGTTGAAGGAAGTGATAGAAGGGAAAGAGTACTTGTTGCAGAGCTACAAGGAGCAGAAGTCAGAGCTTTCCATGAAGATTATGGAATTGCAGCACAGATTGGATTCACAGCTCCCTAATATTTTGTAGGCATTGGTAGGATGTGTATTCTTGGTTGTTTCCTCTTCTTTTCTTTGATTTTACTTCTACATTCTGAATTTTGGGAGAAGCTTCCTTTTTCTCCTTTCTTTCCAGAATTTCTTTCATAACTTAGTTTAGAATGTTTGATGCATTTTACGTGTTTGTTCAAAAGTGCGCTTGTTGGAGAGAGGAGAGAGAGAGAGAGAGAGAGAGAGAGAGAAGAAAATTTTATGGATATCGACTATACAAGACTTTTCTATACAATTCCTAGAGTTTCTCTTCATGTTGCTCCTATCATTCTTACAAGTTCTTATACTAGGTCTCAATCTCCATTACTTGCTCCTCCTACTTCTCTAGTTATCCCCTCATGTGCCAAAGCTAGATCCCATTATTCATCATTACATTGATCACTTAAACCTGTGGTTGTTCCTCCTCTAGTTCACGAAGAACCCCTCAGAGTTTGCTAATTGGCCACTAACTATTCTCAAGCCAACCTATACATGATCCTAGAAGAAATGTTAACTTCATCCTCATCAACTAGTGACACTAGTAAAGAGACGATTATCAAGGAAGTAGTGCACGAAATGGACACCAATGAAACAATCATAATAGGATTTAAAGTAGGGGTTGCCAATAGTATTATAGTTTCCTTAATGCATAAAAATGAAACCATGCTACTACTACCATGTCATAAGGTAGGTATAAAAGGAAATCGAGTAGAGCATGCCCCTACTGTTGAAGAATTAGAACAAGCCATTATGCCTCCTTCCATCGAGCAAGAGTAACTATTGAAGTAGTTGTTGCCACTACAGATGCTAGTCTTTTTGGATCATTAAGACTCGAGCAAGACTTGGGTGTTGAGAAAACTATATTGGCTTTCGCTACCCAAGTTAGAAGGTCATTCATTCTTGTTAGAATGATTCGCTCTTGTAAAGTTTTGAGCGATTTTTGAACAAAAAGTATTTTCTTTTTCAAGGGACCTTAGATGACCCCTTATAGTTTGCATGGGAAATGTTGATGATCAACAAGGAAAAAACTTTATTAAAGAGATTTTAGAGCTACTAAGGTAAGAAGTGTACATACTTAGCATCCAAGAACACATCCAATAGATTTTGGACAACATTCTATCCTAAAGGTTTACAAAGTTGACTGGTCAAAAAATATGGGAAAGCCTTTGTAGTTTTAAAAAATTCGTGGACGACAGCTACCTATAATCAAATAAAATGAAAACTTCAAATTTATTACCCTTATTAAGGTTGGCCTATTCTAAAAGTACCATCATGTTAAAAAAAAAAAAAAAAGAGAAGCATTGGATCCTCAAGGGAAAAGAATATTGCAGAAATTAAAGTGCCGGAAATAAATGAAAACAATAAAAGAAAGCAATAAAAAAGCTTATGAGGGAAAAGGAAAAATACTTAAACTTGTTGAAAAGGTATGCCATTATTTATAGTAGATTTGGCTTTATTTATACTATTAGAAAGTTTGAATCATATTTACATAAGTAATTCTAATCCTATATATAAATATTGGTATTAGATAGTAAGGTTTATTCAATCCTAATACAAGCTAAATTCCTTTTTAATTGATATACATGTGAATTAGTTATTTTTTTAGGGTTTTTATTTTGAATAAGAATATATCTTTTTGGATATGCATTCAAATTAGTCAATTATATACTACTTGGTTTTATTGACTACCATAATATTATTAATATTATTGTTGTAAATTGTTTTTGTTGTATTCTCTATTTCTAATTGAATAACCTTTAAATTAACATCAAACAAATTTATATTGTTAATAAAATGATGTTATTTTAAGAAAAGGCATTAATGACTATCTAGAGTTTAGCCACATTAATTCTGATCATCTAACTACACCATTAATCCCTAAAAGGGATATGAATGAAATCATATAGAAGGTGTAAGAATACTATGATATTTTTTAACAGCTAATAAAGACAATAACATTGAGAATGATGGAAGAGTTAGTCAATGAAGTCTCATTCATGACATGTCTAATAAGAACTATGTAATTGGTTCCTGTATTGGCGAGTGGTTATCTGATTCTTTATGACCATAAGATTCATCTTTGTATACATGTTCTAATTATTACTCAATTATAATGATGATATTTTTATGGGATTGCTTTTTTTACATGATTACTTATTTGTTATGGTATTAACAAATTAGTCATATCAAGCATGTAAATTTGTTGATTAATAATTGATTTATTAATAAATAGCATATTGAATTATTAATTAATATGTTATTTATTGCTTGCTCCTTCCTTTTAGTGTGGAAAAACTATTGTTAAGAACTTCATCTTGATTAAAAGCATATAACAACCTCATAAATTAAATTAAATGTAGGGTTCTTACCATGACTTTAATAGGTTAATAAGAAGATAAAGGTAATGTTAAAGATCAAACTAGATTAAAACATAAAGAAAGTTCAAAGAAAATAATATATATATATATATATATGTGTGTTGTAAAAGAAAAATAATAAATTATGACAAGAAAGAAAAATTATAAAAACATAGTAATAAAATTATATATGTGGAGCTGACTATCATTTTAAGCTATTAGATGACCTATCCCAACTATCTATAACAATTCAAAAATATATATTATGAATTTTAATAGAATCTATATTTTTATTAGCATGTTTTTTATTATGAATTTTAATAGAATCTATATTTCTATTAGCACATTTTTTTTTGCAATTATATAAATCCTAATTAATTTATGATATTTTTTAATTTAATTCGTTGAGGACTTATTTTAAATAAGACTTATTAACTTTATGTAATCAACTAAAAGATCAGGTCTTGTTCAATCTTATCCTAAATAAAACTTGACTTCATGTGAGTGATTAAAAAACCAAGTCTTATTATAAATAAAACTTGATTTTATATTTGATCATATCAACTAGTATTTTTATAATTGATTGCTTCATAATTTTTTTGGTTGATTATATTTTTTTTAGGTAATAGTTATTTTTATTGGTGAATGGTTGATCCTAGCTTTATTTTACCTGTTTGGTTAAAAATATATAGTGAATAACTACAATTCATATTTAGTCCAGTAACGGGTTTTGTGAATAACTACAATTCATATTTAGTCCAATAACGGGTTTTTTTTTTTTATGGTATAAACACATCTTTAGAATTATATTGCATAAAAGTATTTTGGTTATTTAATGTCCAACCTTAATTCAATATCTATCATGTACTTGACCCAAATTGATGTTCTTAGAAACATCAAGGGACAATCACGTCTCATGTAAGTCCATATGGACACAATTTCTGAAAGAGCAGATCATTATTTATAAAAGCCATGAAGAGCTATACTCGCAAGGTCGAGTTCTTCAAACCTCAACTAGAGACATCAAATTCATGCCACATGTCACACATGTATATGATTAAAGATGAAAAATAATACTTCAACCCGTCGCTATAATTGGTTGTAAGATTGAGAGCACAATCAAGTCAATTCTATTGGGCTGTTATTTAATTTTGTCATTGAGCATTGTTCTATCCTATCTATTTTGGACTTCATATTATTTTAGTGGAATATTAGCTTTGATCAAGGTTTGTTTTTACATTATTTAATTAGCTTCGATTAAAAGTTTGTTTTTATATTATTTAATTGTATATTTCTCGTCTCCTCACTTGTCTTCGACCTTTTCTTTTTCTCCCTTTTCAATTCACCGCCGTCCGGCATCAAACCGATGTCAAAAAGCAATAAAGCGTCCTTCATACTCATCATTCCACACAACCAGGGAACCACCCGTTTCTGTCTTTACATGTTTCATTCAGACACTTTAAAATCAGTCCTGTTTCATCAAAGCACACTTAAACTACTCTGGAAGTTTCCATATCCCAAAATTCCCCTTTAAACGTCGACTGACACATCTGCAATAACCAAGGAAAAGGAAAGGAACAAAGAAATAAACAGAAACACCAATCTTTTCCATAAGAATCACTGAAATTATTGGAAACGTTTAGAATTAGTCTAGCATGGAAATAGTGTTGCCCCCTTAAATATACACGAGGGTACTTCGAGGTGATTCTTACGAGTGCTTTGAACAAGCTTGCCTTACAAGGCCATGGAAGAACATTAGCATTCAGAAATTACAACATTGTACTACCCAGTTGCCTTGGAGCTGGATATAGTTTCCAGAGAGAGAATCACAAATCAGGTGTCATTCAGTCATTCTCATCCCATGAAGATAGAAACCGACTATCAGCATTCTTTCCAGCCAATACTTCTGCATGGTTCATCTAGTGTTTAGATCAAATTCTCCCACTTCTCTCCACTCACTGTGTACTGCTGTGTTCCCATTTTCAGTTTCTTCATCATTCAAGAAATCTACAGAAGGCTCTTTCTCATCTCTCGGAGCACTGCCTCCCCACCCATTCATCATCTCATCTGGGTTAACACCATGCTCCTGCTCTCCCATGTCATGACCAAGCGGAACACTGCTGCCTTGCGATCCAAGTGCACTTGCCCTTATCGGAGCCCGAGACATCATTTCAGCATGAGCATGTGATTCTGCCTGAGCTTGCTCGGCCTGAAACATAGCTGCCATTCTTAACTGAGCCTCCCGACTGGCCTTCTCCCTGGCATCCATTTCAGCTTTCAAATTGAGCAACAGTCGCTTCTCCTCTTGGAGGAGAGCCTGCTCAATCATCAATCTCTCTTCAGATCGGAATTCCCCCAAGGAACGCTTGCGGGTTATTATGTTGAAGGCTAAGGCCTGTTTCTCAAATGTACCTGTGAACTCAGCAACTTTAGCAGCAATGTTATGATCCCACTGCTGCGAACGAGATGGCATCTGACCTGTTGTATCTAAATCAAGGATTCTATCATCCTCCTCTGCCTCATAGTCTGCTACTACATGGTAAGGCAGTAATCTGCATATTTTGTGCAACAGGAAAAATGAAATGAATGCTGAACTTTTGAAAGCCATGGTGGTAATTATTCATTCAATTAGTGGTGCTGAACTGTACCACTACAAACTGCAATTAAAGTCAGTGGAGTCTAGGAGAAGTGCCATCTACAAGTAATGGAAGGCTCGCATAACTTCCTTAATTCTTTTCCCTTTTGATTGAAAAAAGAAAACATTAAATTTCATCAATTTGCCAAACAAAAATTCATAAATCAAAATGTTAATCCTTGAATCAGAGTGCTTACTAACCTATCGT